CCTGTGGATTTTACTTTTGCCCTGGGACCTGTGTATTTGGATTTAGTTCACTGAGTCTTTCTGGAAGACAAGGTGAATGAGTGAACTGGTGCTTGTTGTTGCCATTAACTCACAACAGCTATAGTTATCTCCACTGGTCCCACACCATACCAGCCCTATCAACAATCAGTTAGGAAAAGGAGAGGAGGCACTAGAGAGATGACTTGGCAGTTGAGAGCACTGACTGATCTTGCAGGGGACCTGGGTTCAATTGCAAACACTCACGTGGTGGCTAACAACCGTCTGTAATTCCAGTTTCTTGGAATCCGACAGCCTCTCTGACCACCACAAGCAGTGCACATTATGGGTACACACATACATGCAGGCAATTCACTCATACACATAAAATAAAAACAATAAATCAAATATTAAAAGAAAGGGAGGAGCTCAAGAAAACATATCCTGTACCACTCAACTATAAGCCATCGATAGATTCTGGGAGAAAGGGAATGACTGTCTTCAGCTGTGTACCACTGCTGAGCCCACCAGATCCAATGGATAGCTTCACATACATAGTCACAAAATTAACTCTGCTTAATTCCAGTGGGTCACAAACAAAATGAATAGACCTGGATGTGGAGATCTGTGTGTGTGTGCGGGGCGGAGGGGGGATGGGAGTGATAGGGAGGAGGGAGATGAGCAGACAGTAGGCACTACATACATGTGCAAACCGTCTAAAAGCAAATTTAATTTTAAAACTTTTCTAAAGGTAGAGAGCAATACACCCCACATCGATGCTGGGCCTCCAAGTACACATTCACAAACATGTAACTACACACACATGAACACATATGCATACAATATATTTTAAAAAAATGAATCACCACTTGTCTTTGAGAAGTATTCTTATGCTTTGGCATGCTTTATTCATTCTCTCGGTGCCTTTCTATTTTTAATAAACACTGTTTTTTTAAACATCCTGTACAGGGGGCTGGGGAAATGTGTTGGTGGGTAAAGGGCTTACTGCATAAGCATGAAGACCAGAGTTTGGATCACCAGCACCAGTATAAAAATGTAAGCTTAGCACTGCATGCCTGTAATCCCAGAGCTTGAAGACAGAGACCCAGTGGCCTCCTTCTACCAGTCTACCCAGACCCTAAGATCCAAGTTCAGTGAGAGACCCGGTATCAATAAGGTGGGGACAATTCAAGGAGCATACCTTAGGGTGACCTCTCACCTCCACATGCACACATAATACACATACACACCACCCAACACCCATCCCACATGCCTGCACTACACACACAATAAAGAAGCAAATGAATACAATCTGTAGAACCAAGCCTCTTATGGGAAAAATATTCTGGGATTTATGTCAATTTCTGTTTGTGTCTCTAAATCATGGCAATAGGGGACCTTGGTTGCAGATTAGCAGTCAATTCATTGGATGTGGTATCCTTAAAAAATATCTTAAAACCCACTAACTTGGATTCTCTTTCAATTTAGATAAAATCAAAGAACTAAGAGCAACCTACTTGCAATAGGAATTTCTAAGAATGTAATCCATAGGCTGGAGAGATACTTTACTGGTCAAAAAAATTGGCTACTCTTGCTGAGGATCAGCATTCAGTTCCCAGTAACCAGGTGGTGGATTACAACTGTCTGAAACTCCAGTTCCAGGGGATCCAACGCCCTCTTCCGGCCTTGGCAGGTATTGCATCCATGTGGTATACTTAGATGCAGACAACACCCTCATACATGAAAATAAAATGAATAAGTCTAAAAAACTTTTAAAAGAACATAATCCATATTGTCAATATGAGAAAAAAAATTTTCTTAACACCCTGCTTACTGGGCACTCTATATTTCTCCTCAGAATAAGGTGCTACAGAAGCACTGCAAAGAGTCAGAATGGAGGCAAGAAAGGAAGTACTCCAATTTCACTCTATTTGCATCCTTCCTAATAGCTTTTTCCTATTACCCAATGATCAAAACTGTACCTCAGAAAGACCAGTATCCCAGCTCATGTAGAAAATCTAAATGGAATGTGACACAGGAAAGAGAAACACCAAACCAAAAACTTGAAAGTGTTAAAGACTACAGTTTTTGATTTTCATTTTTGCTTTTTCTTTTGCTTTGTTGTTTTTTAAATATTTTATTTATTATTTTTATTTTATGTGTATGAGTGCTATGCCTGCATGTAGGAAAGGGCACCCATATCGTGCAATGCCCGCAGAGGACAGAAGATGCTGTTGGATCCCCTGGAACTGCAATTATGGACAGTTGTTAGCTGCCA